AATCCTGACACGTGGCCGCAGGTGGGATGGAATTTGATTCCGCATTGGCAAAGGATCATCTCGAAGCCTGGACCCGGTCGCGCCCAAACGAGACGCTTTAAAATGCAAATGAATCGTCGGGCGCGCCACAGAAGGGGCCGGGATCAATGCAGTAGATGTGGTGATCCCGAACATTTCGCGGACCATTGCCCGTATTCGCATCCTCATTTGGATCGAACTCGACTCCGGGATGATTGGGGGAACTAGTTGTTTTGTATGTATATTGACTATTATGGTTTTTTTGAGATTAATATTTTTGTATTCAAATGACTTATATAATGAAATGGAATAGTTATTGTAATTTTTATTTGTTAGTGTGAGTTTGATTTAGTTGGTTGTTTTAAAAATAGAATCGGGACGAATAATTGCAAAAACAGGTGCATTTGATCAAAAATGTGATTTTTGTTTCGGGATTTCTACACGGGTCGTGTGACATAAGTCACACGGGTCGTGTGGGGTCACACGGGTCGTGTGATATTATCACACGGGTCGTGTGACACAAAACGAAAAATGTGATTTTTCTTTTGGCTTTTTCACACGAGTCGTGTGACGTAGTCACTCGGGTCGTGTGGTCTCACACGAGTCGTGTGATTTGATCACACGGGTCGTGTGCGTGTGAAATGAAGCAAGTTTTTTTTTCCAGTTTAAAACGTATTCTTGGAATACGTTTTAGCATTATTTAAATATAAAACGTGTTACGAGAATACGTTTTATATTTAATTAATACTAAAACATTTTCCGAGAATTAGTACAAATGAAGTCAATTTAACTCGAATTAGTACTTCAATTGAAGACATTTCGTACAATTGATGTCAAATTGAAGTCGAATTAGTACAATTGAAGTCAATTTCTTACAATTGAAGTCAACTAAGTACAATTGAAGTCAACTTCGTACAGTCGAAATCGAAGTAGTCCAATTGAAGTCGAATTAGTACAATTGAATTCAACTAAGTACAATCGAAGTCGAATTGGTAGCTACCATTTTGGATATTGAA